AGTTTAATATTATTTATCGCATATATCAAAACCTTTAACGAGATATGATATTGAATTGAATAAACCTAATTGTAATATTGTATATCTTTCACTTTTTTTGTCAAATTTGAAGCTGAACGGCTCTGTCCTGAATTGTCGCAGTTTCAACATGGCGGATATCACAATGAATTTGAATATGCCCAATGAATTGCTGCTATTGAAAAATAACAATTATATATGAATTCAAATCATTTGCAACAATCGTCTATCTACGCTTTAATGAAGATGGTATGATCCACCGCAAAAAATGAAGTGTAAATTTACCCAAGATTTTGCGTAAATATCACCGACATGTTATGACATCACGGTTAATGCTGTCAAATGTTATGACATGCGATACGTTAAACGATAAAAATTTTATATTATTGCAATTGGCATATAATTTTTTTAGAAAATCTGTCTCATTATTCGCTTATAAGAATTTTCATCATTTTTTTATAATCATTTTTTTGGCCAGATTATAAATGCTTCCTATAGTTTCAAGCTAGCGATAGATTGGGAGCGCTTTTTGGTGTATGTATTTTAGAAGACAAGGGCCACGCGCGCAATGAGTTGTGGGATATCGTATATCAAGTATCAAGTGTGATCACGGTTTACAAATTTTCGACTTTTTCGTTTGAGCATATTTCGCTCAAGAATATCGTGTTTTTTATCATATTTGGTTCTGGATAAGTGACTCCGAATCCTGCCGAAGGCTTATTGATCTCAGGTATGAAATATTACTGTTTATATCGTATAATTATAACGTACATCGACCGTATTTACTCATTTTATCTTGTGGCTGTTATAGCCTGTTGTGGCTGTCTGCTATATTTGCTAAATTTGAATTTGCGCGCGAGAGGTTTTATATATTGAATTATTTCATTTCAATTCCGTCAAATATTAGTTAAAATCAACAATTCAAATTTTGAATAAACACATAGTAAATACTGGGTTACACTTGCCACTTGGTTGACAAAACTGGAGAAAGCATGTTTGAACCCACATAGTATATTATAAAACAATATGTGAATATGAATAATATTTACTTGCTGATTGCTTCAAGCCTATTATTAGCCAAAACATGAAAATTATTTGAGAGTATTAAACTTACAATTACAATGTTATCTATCTGAATCATAAAATTGTTAACTCAATATATAGAATTGATTATAATATTAGCTTATCAGTTCAGTGCATATTTCTTGGTTTATAGCATGTAAATGGATTGACTTTAAATTAATATTTAACCCATTGGCATTGAGCTGGAATGTGCCCCAGTGCGCCCTAGTTTTTTTCACCTGTCTGTTAACGCCAGTGTCTTCACTCATGTCTAACCCTGCATATATGTGTGTGATATATTGTGCCTGTTTATGTGATAATGGCATGGCTGGACAGGAGGTTTTAATCCAGGATGGTGTGTTTAATATATAGACGGAATACACCCCGCCTCTCCGCCTGGCAGGGATGATAGAGTGCTTGTATAAGAATTTCTCGTCCTGGCAGATGCAATCCCGGCAAATAATGGGATCCTGCCTAGGCCAGAAAGAAGTAGAATAATTCACTTTACCGTAAACAGTTGATAGAGTTCATATTGCAAGCTAGATGAGATGGGGTGTTAACGGGATATTACACTAGGCCGGACATTGCATAAGCTGCATTTTGCCACAACTTTATTGTTTTACTCCGTATAATGTCAGATGATTTTACCTGTCAGTGCCATCACTCAACGGGTTACTGAAACAAGTAGCACTTATCTCACATACAACTGAGGTTAAATCATAACCATATGAATGTTTTCTGGAATATAAGGCAATAGCATATTAAATCACAAATACCAACACCATCGCCGTTACATTTTATACCAATCTAATGGGTTTTGCTGCAAAAATTCTTTCTCATGTTATAAACTCTATCCTACATAATAGAATGATTACAAATAAATTACTTATTTCCTTTCATGGGAAAATGTGAGTCATTATGGTCAATTTGAGTCCGAGAAATCATGGTCCCACAGTCAAAATGTCAAATTTTAACCCATGAAATTGTATCGCACCCTTTATTGTATTCCTGTCTAATGCCAGACAATTTTATTTGTGAGTGGGAGAGTGATGGTGGTTAATTGGTTAAGGATGCCAAGTTATATCATTATGCTTTCAATAAGTAACACAGTTGTAATTTAACACTTGCCCGGGGCAAGTGAATATCATTGTGACAAAAAGCTGGACATCTTCAAGTTTATGTTTTCATTGCCAGATAAATTTTTTATGCAGTGCATGTTGTACTTCTGCATGGATTCAAATTTTGTTTTTCTGTGGGCCACAGCTAGTCTGAAGCAGTATAACATAGCCATCTAGAGCAGTGGAAGAATGTGTCGACATGTTGTTAATTTATAGCCCCTACCTGGGTACCCCAGTGGCCATTGTCTCATGGCAAGTGAATTTTATTCACGGGAACTAATTTTCATATTCAACTTGGCAAGTTGAACTTGCCCTGATGACAAATGGTCAAAAAAGTAAAGTTATACCACTGACTACTGAGTAAGGTATATATGAGCTACAGTATCATGGTTATAAAAACTCTGGAATAAGGTATGCGGTTATTTTCAAAAAATTTACATTATCACTCATCAATATGTCTGCAGGTTGTTGAAGAAGATCGGAGGAGCCTCAATCAATCCAAAGAAGCAGAAGAAAGTGCATACATGAGGAATTGTGAAAAACAGCAGCTGATTGACCAATTGGACCCACTTATTTACTATCATGGCATTTCAAAAGGAGTTATGAAGCCACCACATGAACAGTGATCTGGTAATTAAATGATATCATTTTGTTTTTTTATTAATTAGAGTACCGGTACCAACATTGGATTCATTAGCAATTTAGCACCGACATTAGGTGTCGTTAATAGAAAATAATAAATGAAAATTGCATTTTGGTTTATGGTGTACCGGTAACTAATAAATGATATGAAAAATCAAAATTGCATTTTTTAGCTCTCAAAATATCACAATGCTTTTATTAAAAATGTACCGGTAACTTAATTAATATTATTTTTTATGTATGTAATTCTACAGAAAGTACTTCACCTAATGAAGAACATTTAATTCACTCTTCAAATCAAAAAGTCAACCTGCTAAGAGCAAACTTGACATCATAAACTTTGTTGAGGTGAGGTTATAGTTTCATTTTTTAAAATTCATTTAGTAAGGCCTGAATCAAATTTAGTGTACACTGTACATATACATCTTCTTAGTTTTGAGCTTTCCTATAGTTGAGATAAAGTTAATATGGGCTAACAAAAACTATCTGCCAGTGTCTCTTGTTCCATCCATCATAGTATTTCGCTCTGTCTATAACCCCAGGGGATAGCTTGTTCAGGGGTGGAAAAAGTATCGGACCACGGGACCATTGGTCCCAGAAATTTTTTTGAGTTCCCAGAAAATATTTCCCCAAGAAAGAAAAAATTGTAATAATTCAGATAAAAGGAGAAATTCAGAGGAAAATTAACACCATGACCTCAGAAATGCAATTATAAGTGCAACCATCTTAATAGTGCGATAGTTTTGCGATAGTGTATAAATGTATTAGACTATAGAATGATGTAACAATTGTTGTATGGCAAATGCATTTTTAGCCAATCTGGGACACTTGATTTCAAAATTTTCTGGGAGCTAGAGCATGGATCCACCTGATAGTGCTCCCCCAGTGCCAATTTTGCATCTGTATTTACTTTAGGATCAGATCCTTGATGCATGTTATCTATATTAGCTTTATGTTATATTTTAAGATTCTCAGTGCACTGAAATTTTTTTTTTTCTGTAAATATACATGTAGCATGACATCCAGTTTGACAACTTATTAGGTGTCACACAGTTACATTGGCCGAGTGTCGATTTACTTGATCATTTGCAGAAAATTTTTCAATGAACTTTTTGCGGTCCCAGAAAGTAAAATATTCTTTCCACCCCTGAGCTTGTTAGTGAAAACATAAGCTGTTAATTAATTAATGAGGGTTGTGTAGTTGTTACCAAAACTATTTTTGTGTTTTTTTTTCCTCAAAAGGAAGGAGACACAGACTTGACTACCTGGCTGCAAATGAAACCCAATGACATACTGTATCAGGGCTGATCATGACATGGAGCTATTGGCAACATTCGAGAATAGCGAAACTGTAAAAGCCATCTTTACTTCCTGGCGTTGTTCTACTGTACCTGCTCGACTTAGACTACCCATCCAGACTCAGCAGTCTGACATGGTAAAGGCTTTTCAAGAAATTGAACAATATTGCTACGTGTGAGAACTTTTACATTTATTTATCAGTAATTACTTTAATAACCTATTCATGTACAGCTGGTAAATATATTATTTTAAACATTCTTAATTGTTTTTATATTGTAGGATGACAACAGCAAAAATCATGCCAAGATTATTATTCTAGTTTCATATTATCATTTAAGAAAAATATTCTTAAAAGCCATGCACACCGGATCGAACTAGAATAATTTTCTTAGCAGGATTTCAATTCAAGATAATTTTTCTAATTTTGTCCCATAAGTAAGTAAAATTTTCTTATTAAGATTATTTTTCTTATTTCAAGAAAACGTTCTAGCAAAATTTTCTTATTACTAGAAAATAATTCTTGGGAAACTAAGAATTTTTTTCTAGAAATAAGAAAATTTTGCTAGAACGTTTTCTTGAAATAAGAAAAATATTCTTGATAAGAAAATTTTACTTACCCACGGGACAAAATTAGAAAAATTTTCTAACCAAGATTAATTTTCTTATTTTAAGAAAAATTTTCTTGAAATCTGATTCTTACCTAGAATATTTTACTTACCCACGGGACAAGTAAAATTTTCTTAAAACAAGTAATTTTGTGCTTAAAATAAGTAATATTTTCTTAAAACAAGAAATTGATTTTTTGCAGTGAACACGAATATATGAATATCTGCCCCCGCCCCCCAATTATCGAGTTTGCTACGGCACTGACTGTTACATGAAGAAAAACAATTATTTACGACCATGCAAAAAATGGGCAGATAATACATGAAATAATCACTGAATAGTACTGCATGGCACCGTGTTATACTAAATATTAATTATAAGCAAAGAACACATAATATATAATTTCAATAAAATATATCAAACATTTTATACTTACATGAAGGGCATCCACAAATTTCACCACCGTTGATGAGTATACATTCTGAAATTAGATTAGGAAACATGACATATAATTACTATTCTTACTTTTTTACGCACTATGCCAGTTACTAAGATCTTGATTGTCCAATAGCATCTATATAGATAAGGAAATGAAACGACCATGCAAACGATTAGCCATAGGTTAATACAGCAGTATGAAACCAAAAAACAAATGGAAAAATGAATAACAGTTTTTCTGGAACTATATTCCTTTCTTGTCAGATCCTACTACGGTAGCAGGTAAATTAGTTTTCAAATTTTAATTTGTTGTTGTTATCTGCTCTAAATAGACTTCATGCACTGAAACTATAAAATATGAGACTAGACCAGATTCAGCGATAGAACTTTCAAACTATAACACATTGTGTGTCGGAGAATTGATTAATTAAAATGCAATAATTGAAATACGAAGACGAATTTGGACAATTGGGCTGGCACAATGGCAAAAAGTCGGGCAAATTTCTTTCCGCCGCACCCACTCCATATTATTTTTCCTTCCCGCGTACGCTTACGTCCAACGAACAGCATGCAAGACCTTGAATAGTTTTGGCGTATGTTATTTATTTACCATTATAAACATAAAGTCATAATTATTTACAGCGAAGCAAGAAACATTTCTGAAGTTTGGAAGACATTTTCTCTTTGGCGTCTAAAATCTTTCCATTTTAGCCAGGAAGCTTATATATATATATATATATATATATATATATATATATATATATATATATATATATATATATATATATATATATATATATATATATATATAGGCCGTGGAACGAGCGCGCACTCATTATATTTCGATTCAAAGGTAACCTGGGGCGAGCTGGTTTTGGCCGAACAAACTGGTGTAGGCCTACATTGGTTTGAAAGAAAAAAACAATAAGGGATGTCATAAAAATACATTGAACTAAAAATAACTGGAACGATACCTCCAACCGGAAAAGGGAAGCCATGCCCAGGCATGCCCACTGTTGTCATGCCCAGTCTTTTCACGTAACGGAAAAACGCGATTTTTAAATTTTCTAAACTGGGTAAAAAAATGTACTAATTCATCGCTTAAAACGACGTAAAATGCACCCACCAGAGCATTTTTTTACAATAAAAACATCCTCCAGAACTCTAGAGTAAAATATTTTTAATTTATTTGTGTAGAATTCGAATTCGTAATTAAATTTCCTTTTTTGAGAAAAAATGTTGAGCGAGGAGTGGAGCTTGCCGTGGTCTAATCATAAGTATTTGTGTGAAATTCCCTATTTTGCTCATTCGTTTTCCAATTTATTCGTCTGAAAGTTAGGAAAAAAGGTATTCTAACAAGATCAAACTACCATCCACGGTTTAATTATGTTTTTACGGTATTAATTTATTAAGTTTTAAATGTACAAAATGACAAACATAAACATTAAAGGTTTTTTTCGCGGAAAAGAATTTCATGTTGCGATTATTCACATTCGGCAAGAAATACACAGAAAAAGTGGTCAGCGAAGGCAAACAAAGTGATAGATACAGACTAAATAAACTTATCTTGTTTAACAATCAATGAAGTTGTTATATATATGTTTAATACGTTAAAATAAGGAAATACTTATCTCTCTCAAGTTTCATCTATAAACGTTTCAGTCATTCAAATATGCACTTGTTGTCTCCAATCGGTTACTTTCTTCCTTGCAATTTTAGTCGGTAGGGTTCAAGATATGTTTTAAATACACTTTCAATACAAAAATATAGCTCAAGAGCGGTTGTCTGTAATAGTCAGGTAAGACGTGTAGAATGAAAAAATTCAAAATCTCTCAAACTTTGTCAGAATGTAGGCCTATATGAAGTATTAATGTTGTGAAAGTTTTATTTCGATCGGATAAATATTGAAGGAGAGAGATGTCGAAATCGGTGTTCCCAGGCCACTTTAGGTTTTTAGAGGTCATTTTACGGCACTACCAAAATCGCTCTATTTTGCACGATAGTGGGAATATTTCACAAAATATGATTTCGTTTTATAAATTAGAGTTATTTATTGAGTAGCGGACGAAATTTAGAGACATTTCTGTTAAAACTGAATATTTTACAGATTTTCTTAATGTTTTTTTTTTAATTTTTGAACCTCTTTATTATATGCCATATTAGGCAGTGAATATCTCCCTTGTTACATCGATTCAGACAAAAAATTCATACACAGGTCAAAGAAATATGTATTTGCTTGCTATTGATCAAATAAAATTTTGGGGCAACTTAGAATTGAATTTTTGACGATTTTTTTCGTAACCCTTATTTGATCGGAATAACCGTATGTTATGTAATCAACGTCGAGTCATGTAGTTCTATAAATAACCAAAAGAGCTCGTCAAAAGCGTTTATTTCTTCAAGTAAACAAGCCTAGGCCTATAAAACTACCTTAGCTAAAGCAGTACGATTGGATGAAAGCATTTAGGTCTAAATCACACTGTTTACAGTCGCTTATTGTTCAGGTAATGCCAATAATATATTGCATAGCCGGCGCCTCTGATTTGGCGGAATTGGTTTTAATTATATTTTATCAGGGATATGCCGCGATAAGTATAGCAAGTATATTTTCTCTCCCCTTCCCATAAACATGTGTTCTTTCACGACTCGTCGTGCTTATAACTTTTCGAACATAAATAGTGCACGCGCTTTTTGTCAAAAACATCGGTCAGTTTACGTCGAAATTGCATGTAATTCGTTTACTTACAGTAATTAATTTAATTAATATTAAAGTTGGATTCTTTCACCGTGATGTCATGCCAAAAGGTGTCTTTTCTATTTAAAAAAAAGACCCTCTGTTGATTTATGATTTGGTAATACTTATTACAGTTGTATATTTGATTATTTTGTTGTTGCTCAATATCTTTGGTCAAACTTCGGACCAATCTTCTACGTACTGTTACTTATTTAGTAGTTTTAAAACTGGCCATCACTTTTAAAACAGCAAGAAGATAAAGACAACGTGTACGTGTGAGTTATCCATGAAATAAATAGTGGGTTTACAAAATGAATTCCGTCTTGGTGGATAAAATTAATGAGTTATAAATAATCTCTCCTGCATGTGTTAAGCTACATGTAGGGATTTCCCCCGGTATATTTCTTCTCTTTTGTATGGCTGTTTGTGGTTACGCGTTATCTGACATATACTTTTGGTCCAATTTCAATTACATTTATCCAACCATTTCTGGATGATACATCTAGAACACTCAGGCAGTTCTCAGGCCAAAAAAGTCAACTTGAAAGGGGGCCCAACTTTCACAGAGGGGGCCCCGGAATGCTGGAATTGCGCAACGTGTTCTGAAATTGAGGAAGAAAAAGATGTGAAAAGTATTTTGAACCCCCCATTATCGCAAAAATAATTTTTGGAACTTTTTTTTCAAAAAAACGTCGCCCCACCCACCCACCCCCCCTTTACATTTTACTGTAACATTTTTGCTTACCAGAAAACATTTTGAGGGGGGCCCGTAAAAGGAAGGGGGCCGAATTTTTTAGTTATATAATAGTCTAATTATATAAATTAATTTTGCGATAACGGGGGTGGGGGGGGGTCTAAAATACTTTTCAGACTTTTTTCGACCTCAATTTTCAGAATATTCCTTAATATTTAACACGTTGCACAATTCCACCATTCCGGGCCACCCTCTGGGAAAGTTGGCCTGCCTTTCTTGACTTTTCTTTGGCCTGAGTACTGCCTGTTGTAAATGTATCATCCAGAACAAAAGTATATGTCAGATAGAAAATAATGAACTAATCGGCTCGTGCAGGTGGAAGACAAGACTCTGTTCTCAAACTGGAATCCAAGCAAACGTCGTGCGACCTCAGGTGTGCCTTGATTTCTTTTATTACAATCATTCGAAGAACGCATTCTGAATCGGCTGGATTAGAGTTGCTGACACCACATGACCACTTAGTGACAAGAGACGAATAATCACAAACAGCCATACAAAAGAGAAGGAATATACTGGGGGAAATCCCTATACATGCATGTAACATTTAACACATACAGGAGAGATTATTTATAACTAATTTTTATCCACAAAGACGGAATTCATTTTGTAAACCAACTATTTATTTCATGGATAACTCACCCGTACACGTTGTCTTTATCTTCTTGCTGTTTTAAAAGTGATGGGCAGTTAATTAAACTACTAAATAAGCCGTAGAAGTTTGGTCTGAAGTTTGACTGTTTTCTCAGAACAAATTCAAACTTATTGAGCACTAACAAAATAATCAAATATACAACTGTAATTAATATTACCAAATCACAAATCAATAGAGCCGGGATCTTTTCTAAAAATAGAAAAGACACCTTTTGGCATGACATCACGGTGAAAGAATCCAGCTTTAATATTGATTAAATTAAAACTCTTTGGGAGGTCGTCCTCGAGAGGTTGACGGCTAGAAATTTCATATCTTCGGTTCAGTACATGCTATGAAGACAGAAATACCACCATTCGATTCAGAAATAAAAGTTCAACTAATTCCGAACGGTAGTTATAGTCACTATTAATATTGTAGCGATTTATGGGAGTTTAAAAGTGAAATGCGATCGTATACTATCAAATTACTTCGAGCCTCGAGCTCACAGCCTGACAAGAAATGGAAATACCGTGATAAAAGATGTAAATTTGAATATACAGGCTTGCAAATAACACTCTAAATAGCGTTTTTGATGGGGATTCGAACAAGACTGTTACAAAGACGATATGTTTGAAGGGGCTGAAGTTATTTTTGGCGAAAGGTATGGCTAGTCTATATTTTTGTTCAAACAATCGCGTGAGCTAACCCAACCGGAAATACGACTAAAAAACGTCAAAACTATGCGACGTTTGCATCGTATGACCTTGCAAATGGCCTATGTTTTTTTTATAAAAAGCGTGTGCACTATTTACACGAGAACACGAGTTTATGCGAGGTGGAGAGAAAATATACTCGCTATACTTATCGCGACATATTCCTGATAAAATATAATTGAAACCAAATCTTCCAAATCAGCGGCACCGGCCTATCGGCATTACCTGAACAATAAGCGACTGTAAACAGTGTGATTTAGACCATAATGCTTCTAAGTTCTAACCAATCGTAAAGCTTTAGTTAAGGTAGTTTTATAGGCCTAGGCTTGTTTACTCGAAGAAATAAACGCTCTTGACGAGCTCTTTGGTTATTTATTGAACTACATGACTCGACGCTGTTTATATATTAACATACGGTTATTCCGGTCAAATGGGGGTTACGAAAAAAATTGAATTCTAAGTTGCCCCAAAATTTTATTTGATCAATAGCAAGCGAAAACATATTTCTTTGATCTGGTTATGAATTTTTTGTCTGAATCGATGTAACAATGGAGATATTCGCTGCATATAATAAAGAGGCTCTAAAATAAAAAAACATTAAGAAAATCCGTACAATATTCACTTTTTACAGAAATGTCGTCTCTAAATTTTGTCTGCTAATCAATAAATATCTCTAATTTATAAAACGAAATCATGTTTTGTGAAATATTTCCATTAACGTGAAAAATAGAGCGATTTTGATAGTGCCGTAAAATGAGCTCTAAAAATCGAAAGTGGCCTGGGAAAACCAATTTCGACGTCTCTCTCCTTCAATATTTATCCGATCGAAATAAAACTTTCACAACATTAATACTTCATATAGGCCTATATTCTGACAAAGTTTGAAGGATTTTGAATTTCCTCATTTTACACGGTTTACCTGAATATTACAGACAACCGCTCTTAAAACCCTAAATAAACGACAATATTCGATCCATTCGCCCGAAAAAATTTGAACTTCGCCGAAATGATCTCGCGAGAATGTCTCGCAACACAAACGCGCGTTCTGGAGGTAGAACACACGCGGCTGGATGCAAAATTTGGCTTCATCCAATCATAAGCCAATCCTATTGGAGGTATCGTTCCAGTTATTTTTAGTTCAATGTAAAAATATCACTCTGAGCACGGAACAAAAATTGAATTTAGCGAAAATTATGGTGTCAAAAGAGAGAACTTTCACATAACGCGTATGCTTATGATTGTTTCGACGTTTACAAAAGTTCAAACTCTTTATCAAGATGATATCATGAATGAAATTTGAATTGACACAAAAGTCGTATTCGTCACGCCGTACGGGTTTTCCCACATCATTATAAGTACAGTTATTAACATGGCGCTCGGCTTGAAAAGGGAGATTTTATCGCCTCTTGCCGTCGAGAAAGCAAATGTATTATTGTCAAGAAACACCAAAAATTTGGTACGAAAGATAACCATTTGACTGGAATTCCAGCAAGAAGATGAAAACTGAAAGAGTGATAAGAAATCTGTTCTGAATTATTTGCCTTTAGTGAAAGTTATTTCGGCCTATACTCATTTTCGTCAACAAATTACTGCATTCGGGTTAATTTGTTTGAATACGATTTCTATTTAGTTTGTGTGCTGTGCTCACTCGTGAGCGAAATACTGTTGATCGATGCTGATCACTGCAAAATATTATAAAAAAATAATCCTTAAATTCCTGGCAATAAAAATCTCCAAAAATCCCCATGAAATCCATCGATAATTCCTAGCAATCCCTAAAAATCTGTCCAAAACAAATCGCAAAAAAATAGAATTTAACCTATTCTTCGAAATCCCCAAAATACGTACCTTTAAATGATACATTCCTTGGGAGAAATTCGATTGTTTTGATCAGGTGTGGGCGACATACAGTATTAACGCCAAGTGAAAGTCAGGTTTAAACTTACTTGGTACGTAGAATATCCTGGTTCTTTTTCCTGCAACGTTTGTTGCCGAAATGTAATCATCCTCTGCTGCCACCTATAAAATTCAAATTATCATTCTAGAATACGGATAAAAGAACGCCTTTCATTGTAAAACCATGATTCGTAGGTGGGCTATATGTTTATTTTCTTATTTTCAAAGAGTACGTGACCGAGTATTTCAAAGTATACGTGATCGTGCTTCTTTTACGCGTTGCCAATATTCAATGATGACGTAAAATACATTCTGATGTACAAACGTGTGGAGAAAGACGGAAAATTAAGCCCAGCTTATGGTAAATGAACATACCTTTAATTCGTACCAACAATCGTAATAAACGTTTAACTTTTGATTTTCATCAGAGCTGTTAGATGCTATAGCCTAAGAGAAAAACGCTTTAATTTCTTTTTAATACAGAAAGCCTTAGTTTTCCTTGAAAACCAATTTAGCGAATACATTCTAAACCCAATCACAATTATGCGCATTCAAAAGTGTGATGATTTTTATATACAACCTGCAGGAATACTACTGTATTTACTAATACGAAACGGATAACTAATTGGAATATGTACCAAATTCGAACTTGCTGGGAGCTCGTTAATACGGAGACTCAACACGAGGTATTTAATTTGTCATGCACAGTTTTACCATGGTATATATGAGAACATCGCAAAGCCATCCTCCATTAAGTCATGGACTAACTTTGGACGTTAGACAGCAGCTTTATTTGAGAATTGTTTAAACCTCAGCGGATCCAGACTTCTTCAATCATTATTGAACATGGATCATGGATGTTGGACACAACTAACATAAAAATACTTATAAAGTTTGTTCGTTCACTGCAACCAGGTATATCAATCATGTTTCGCTCGCTACTCTGGTTTAAATAAATTATTACAAAGCCCAGTCGAATTGTAATTTGTAATCATTGGCTTTGTAATCATTTATTTGTAATCTGGGCTTTGTAATCATTTATTTAAACCAGAGTAGCGAGCGAAACATGATAAAAATACTTGTCATATTATGCATGGATTCTGAAAATGGGTGATTCTGCACTATATAAAGCACTTGCAGTCATTTTTATTTTGCGCTATATTTGATATTTATATCATGGAAATAATAAAATTTATTAGCATTTCTTTTCGTATTACTAAAGAAACATGCTTCCGAGGCACAATGTTTTCAATAATGAAATTTTAGATTTTCTGATATGCCAAAAATAGGGCGAGGGATTGCTGAATGAGCATGTATTTCTAATAATTATCTGTGATGCAATATCATGACGGCGAACGATTAGAGGATGCACTACCCACTGATTTTTTATAGTTTTTAATTGATAAATAAAGCAAATGAATGGCTTATTAGTGTGACTATTAAAAATCTACTATGGTGATTCTGACATAATATAGAGGCTCAGATTTGACTTCCACTTTCGCTACCGTTACCTATCACTGCCTTCCTACGCATCTGATTGGTTATATAATCGAATATATCAAACGCATCTAATCGGTAAACGACCTGTATAATGGTAGCGGTGGCGCGCGATAGTGGAATAAAATCTGAACTTCTCTGTTGTATACTAGAACTACTTGCATGCAGAAACTCCCTCACATTTCCCAACAAAGCTGATGAAATATGATGACTTTCACGTGAAGCATCTCATGAATAAAACAATAGTTGTTGCCATGGTAACATGCAAAGAACGTTATAGGAAAATATTGAAATAATTAATTTTCAAAACCTAGAATATAGTTTCATGTTATTTGATATTTCAAATTAATAGACTTCGATTTAATGCAAACTAATAAGGTATAACGTTTGGAGGCTTTACAGTGATATTGGAGAAAGCATACATTTGTTTTGTCGACAAATAGTTTGCTTCAAAATACAGCAAAATATATTTGCTTTTCAGGCACAAATTGTTACAAGATTTTCGTTAAGCTACATGTGTCATCGGTATAAGATAATTATAGCCATACTTTACATTGAACATAAAGCGCTGGATTTATTGCATCAAATGAATAGTGATAATGCAATTATACATGTAAATACCAGCTTGAACATAAACATCTTGTTGAATTAAGAACGACTTCAAAGCATTTTTGAGTTCAAATCGAAAAAAAGTTTTCTACTTTATAAATCTAATTTCCGCGAAATTCAAATTAGCAAAAAATAAACTGTTTACAGCAAGATACATCGAAAATCGTCAATGTCATAAAAGAGGATGACTTTGCACTTGCATGGCTATGTTCGAGCGCAATTAGTACCCTCAAACGGTCCGGGAGTGCGCGCAGAACAGCGCTTTGCCCCGTTGGCTCGGGTAAAATAATGTGTTCCCAGATTCTGGTTATCGCTGGGACAGGAATCATACAGCTGTCAAATAGTTTGAACATATGTCACATTTCGAAATATTTTTGTTTGGACCGATTGCACCTGCTGAACCGTGGCAAAATTTACATGTAATAAATGGTGACATTATTCCTTGCGTGCACTTTGTGTGACGTTCGAGGACATTTTTACGTTAATTTAACTGAAATGGGTCTATTATCTACATTCTGGTTTGAGAAATGGCTCACTCAATTCAAAAGTGCTATATCGACTCCGGTTTTCTGGATCACTGCAGTTAAATTAGTGTGCTAAATAACTCTCTGTGAAATAACTGCCCTAACAACCTCAGAGTGATTTTATTCAAGAAGGAAGTAAACAGCACGCACTTACCGTATGACTTTTTGCCGTCGGGTGTTTTCCCGGATAGCAATTACCATTCCTGTTCAGACTAGAAAGTTCTTGAGTAATATATTTCAGCTGCGTCTTGTTTGTTTCGGAGACTGCGAAACAGAATTGATATTAATGAAATAATTTCGCTATTACTGGCAGAATATAAAGTCATCGTTGGAGTAATATATACCGAATATTCCAGTAAAGTTTTGGCAGGTTTATGGTGCAAGACAACAAAATTAGGAAACGATACGATTTCAGTTTGAGGGAAGGGAGTAAATTTAATTGATATTGGCAACTGTCCTAGCCTTTGCACAGCCTGCAAATTTTCGCACATCTTGAAAATGTAAAGCAGCTCCAGGGTAAAATGTCAACTTACCATTTTTAATATATATACATATAAAAAGCACTCAATTCTGATTGGTTAAGAATGAGTCAATTTCATCTTCACACAAAAAAGCTGCGGAATGAGAGATATACAACTACATGAAAAATTTGAAGTACATGCAGGATGTATAAAAAAATGAACAGAATTGAAACTGCTGTCAATTTCGCAAAACAGCTCGTGGTATCAAGTTTTTGTTATATATTGATTCCTTGAGTTTGTAATTGCTGTCCAAAATTTCCATCATGCACCTTTGAATTTACTATATGAGTAAATTGTTAAACACGTCCTAACTTATCAATACAGTAATTTCCCGACAAATGTTGAACCGCACGCCCTAACCCTAGCCCTAACCCTAACCGTTAATCTAACCCCTAAATCTAATCTTTATTTGACGCCGGTTAGGTGAAAAATCACCAAAGAGCCTTCAATTCGCTCCAAACTTTAAAGTTCAACTTGTATTTGTCAGGCAGTTGTATCTCTCTCAACCTTAGATTTCTTGTTATCGTCATTATAACTAAACTGCCCAAGTCCGTTTGAGATTATCTTAATTAACACAGTTTGTGAAAAAAAATTAAATTCAGTTTCCCATGAACGTGGTTCAAAACATTTTGCGCAGTCTTCCTGGTTACATTTTAAACAAAATCAAAGCCCACAAAATGAAAAATAACATTCCTACAGTGTATATTTAGTAAATTGATTTTTGTATAGTTAAAAGTACAGTACTACTCTTGTATCTGTGCATTGCCATTTTGTACAAATATATTCAAAAAGTTTAAACATTTTAAAATAATCGTTTTCTATGGCAAAACACAACGGCAACCTGCGTCCAGTTTAAGCTAATTTCTATTATTCGTTTTTAATCAACGTTTTGAAAACTAGGAGAGTGCCGGTGAAATATGCCGTCATTCTTTGTATTTGATCGTTATAAAAATCCAAAAGATGACCCCATAGTCCATTGTGCGAAACACAACTCTATGTAACAAGCACATTTATGATACGTACGTAGTGCAGGCTTCCAGTGAAATTTGGATTTCAATTCCTCGTCCTTTTGATAAGGTTTCTGCGTTTTCAATTCCAAGCGAATATTTGTTACGCCACACGGAAGTTTTTTGCACGTCTCTAAAATTTAATTCTAACAACTATAATTCGTAACTTGATAGCATTTTTATCATTGCGCATGCATACTAACACAGAGAATGGCCAATCGTAGTGGCGAACGCATCTGCCTGATAACTCGCGAGTTATGACTACCTATAGGACTTGACTAGCTAGAGCATAACAAAGGAAATGGATATATGGCTCTAAGAAGCACTTCTTACTTGGCACACTCCGTTTGTTGGGTCTGATAAAACAGATTGTTTAGCGTAAAAATACATTTTGATGAATCTAATCAATACTGTGCCTTTTTTCGTTTTTCCTCCCAGTCTAGGACCTGTATAGATGTTTGTATGCGTTTCGTTTAGCACAGGTAATCTCAACTGTTTTATGGTAAAATGACCATGGTGGTCAACATGGCAAGTGTGCCAAAACCTGAATCCGGGAAGAAATTAAGTCCAGAAAATGACCCCGCTCTGAAACGGCAGTGTCGACATAGCTATAACTTCCAAAAACAGCCTTTCTGAGGTGTTTATAGTGTTTACAAGGGTTGCTTTTAGAGGTGGTTAATGGAAGGAAAAATTTGTCTTAGTATAATATTTTAAAAGAAAATGACCATGCACCACCCCAGGTAATTTGCTAATTATTCTTAAAATAACTAATATGCCTGCAGAAATTAAATGTTCTTATTTCCTAAAAAAATATCTTGGGATGAAAAAGTATGCTTAATTTAATATAATTATTGTGAATTTCATAAGAATTGTCATTGCTTTCTTTAAATATAACACATTTTATTTCACTCCCACGAAAACACGATTTCGGCTATATTTTGCCGCCTTGTTTGCTTTTTATCGCCGAGTCTCGCAAATATCATCCAGTTGTTGTACTTTTACATATTGATAAATGGCTAAAAAAGACTTCAGCCAAGTTTCATGAAGTTTTGAAACAGGGCAGTGTAATTTATCTTCGATATTGTGTCCTTCGATATTTCTTCAAATTGCCGCCATTTTAATAGCTCGCCGCTTCTCTGCCCGATAAATGCCACTTCTTCGTTTTCACATGAATTTAGATTACAGTATCCAAGAGTACTTGATTGTAGAATAGTCTCAATCGAAAACTTGACAACATTAGTTGCACTTGGAAGGGAAAAACAGCCCGTATACCATTTAGGTTCTAAATAAAAAAAAATCATTTGAAAGTCACGTTCAATCTTCGCGAAAACTTCTCGTGGACACATGATACGGGGGGGGGGATATTTTCGCGAAACGCTTGTTCGCTACCACCGCGCAACCTAACTAAACGTATTGTATTTATTGTATTGTTATGATTTATGATAAAACTACGCAAATATTTATTGTTTTTATCATAAACCATAAAAATACAATAAATACCAGATATTTAGTTAGGTTGCTGTGGAGGCAAACAAACGTTTCGTGAAAATATCCCCCCCCCCCTGTCACGTTACCACGAAAAGTTTTCGCGAAGATTGCGCATGATTTTCAAATGATTTGTTTTTATTTTGAACATAAATGGTATACGGGATGTTTTTTCCTTCCTAGTGCAACTATAATGTTGTCAATTTTTCGATTGGGACTATTGTACACGAAAGTACTCTTGGATAATGTAATCTGAGTACATATGAAAACGAAGAAATGGCATTAATCGGGCACAGAAGCAGCGAGCCATTAAAATGGCGGCAATTTCACGAAATATCGAGGGACACAATATCGAAGATAAATACACTGCACTGTTTCAAAACTTCATAAAACTTGGCTGAAATCTTCTTTAGCCATTTATCACTATGCAAAAGTACAACAACTGGATGATATTTGCGAGACTCGGCGATAAAAAGCAAACAAGGCGGCAACATATGGCTGAAATCGTGTTTTCGTGGGGGGTGAGTGAAATAAAATGTATTATATTTAAAGAAAACAATGACAATCCTTATGAAATCCACAATAATTATATTAAATTAAGCATTGTTTTTCATCGCATGATAATTTTGTTTAGGAAATAAGAACATTTAATTTCTGCCACGCATTTTATTTATTTTATGCATCATTAGCAATTTACCTGGGGTGGTGCATGGTCATTTTCTTGGAAAATATTATACTTAGACAAATTTTCCCTTCCATTAACCACCCCTAAAAGCAACCTTTCTGAACACTATAAGCACTTCAGAAAGGACATTGCTTTTTGTTTTCGGACGATGGAGCTATGTCGGCACTGCTCTTTCAGGGCGGGGTCATTTTCAGGACTTTCGACCCGGATTCAGATTTTGGCACATATGCCATGTTGATCGCCATGGTCATTTTACCTTAAAACAGTTGAGATTACCTGTGCTAAATGAAACGCATACAAACATCTATAAAGGTCCTAGACTATCCGTGTTTTTTTAGTTTTATTTTCCACTTGATAGTTCTGACTTTAAAGAGTGTCAGTTTCTTGCTTACTTGTTGTATTAAAAACATTAGTCCAGTTGCTATATGGTGACGATTTATTCAGTTGCATTGCGATTACTCGGAATTTATAACCAGTATTTGGTTCAAGATCTTTAACAGCATATGATGTTTCGTTGGTCTAGTGGGTAAATTGTATTAATATATATTATTGTCAGAAGCAATGCAGGAATTGTACATACATGGAAACGGGGTTGTCGATCATCATGGTAAACACAGAATCATAGATGGTCAGGGGCCGATTGTACGAAAGCCGGATAGCGCAATCCACTGGATAGTAATTTTTTAAAGCTTTGTTAATTCAATAAGTCGTTGATTGGTATAACTCGTATTAAAGTTTGGTATTTATAATTGAAAAGGTTTTTTATACTTTTTGTGTCGTCTATACCCTTAGTTTCACAGTTTTTCAAGCATTTTACAATGGTTGAAAAAATCACTATTCGTTGGATAGAGCTTTCCGACCTCCGTACCACCAGCCCCTGGTGTCTAAAAAACATAATAAATCCTCATATATTATTTGGCAATTGACCATGCATGTATACGAAGACAAATTCAATAACTTTATAAATATGTCTTTTAATATATTTCAAATGGGCGTGTGTGCATGTTACTCTTTACTTTCCGTGCCGTTTCTTTGATTTGATTAACAACTTGTTTCATTCAGTTCAATTATTGTTACGTACTGAAAGAAGAGATGAAATGCATTATACTGCAAATGACTTTTTGTTAGGATGAGTAAGAAATGAAAATCCACTTACATAGTGGTATTTCCTTGTGTAAGGAAACACAACAAAGAGATTATTCCTCTCTTGAAGGCCCCATTGTGGTTTGACTTCCAAAATATAATAAACATCACTGTAATTACCCAATTCTGTCGTATTAAGGCTCAAATGTATCGTTTGCCATCCAGCGTCAACCAAACTTGGTGCTGCAGGCTTTGGTAAAGTTCTTTTGTAATCTTTCGCAAATGTAATTGTGTTAATAAACGTTAGTCATTGATAATCAATCAAGATATGAAACAATTAATTCTTCTCAAAAAATGCACGTAAAGAAGGCCAACAGGTGGCATTCCATATAAATATCCCAATAATGACGCCGCAATAGAGTATTAAGAACAACTTTTGTGCACAGATTTTGGCTGCTATATTTGTTAATGTTATTGTGTAGAATGTAAGGCGGGTAAGTAGGATTGATAAACTGTACCGTCACCTCCTCATCAACAAAAAATCCCGTCGACAATAATTTCTAGAATTGTATTCGTACTGATTCTCGAAACCAACAAAATTGTATGTTGGTCAAAATCGACGCCTGCATAGAAGCACATTTCCCCCTAAATAACCGTATTTCGATTCGCGATTTTGGGTTCATTCGGCGACCAAGTAAAATAATTTATAATAATTTTTGAATATTTTAAATATTTACCTAAAATCAATGACAGCTTTGCCCAATTTCCCTCCACGGAAAAGAGCAGAGGATGCGATGCCCCCCCCCCCCCTCCAGCTCTGCGGCGTTCATATCAGTACACTGTCGTATTACAATTGATGTATATATTTCAAGCTTAAGTCGAGATTAATTCATTTTCATAAATTATTTATTATTGTACTCGCTTGGAAATAATGTGAAATAGAAATGTTTAAGAATGTTAATTAAAGGATGAGCAGTAGCATTGTACGGTAGGATTAGGGTTAGATTTAGGATAAAGTCAGGGTTGGATTAGGAATGTGATGGATTAAGAACTTTTGAGTTAGACTTAGGTCTTAGGGCTAGGGTAAAGATTAGAATGACAATTAGGAATGTAAAAATAGAAAAAATACCTAAGATATCATTACACTAAGGCTGGCTCCTTTAGAAAAACGTAATTACTACATAGAATTTTTTTTATTTTCGAATTTCAGTCTACCTTTTTCCACCAGCTCACCAAGAGTATCTTGTAGGCACTCCATATCACAAACATACCCGTAATTTTTCCTCAGCTAAACAGCAACAAGAAAATAAAATTTGGAAATGTAACATTACGGATCATTTCAGCTCACATGCATGCTGATCTTAAGTATAGGATATAAAATCAATCACAGGCGCCGCGGCAAGTCTTGCTTAATTAGGTTGACATTATAGAATATACTATAATAAAAATACGAAACAAGTATGTACTGTCAATGTCTGCTTTTTAGTTAGGCAAAAAGGACAGATATAGCTAAACGTAGGAAAAACGTTCATTTTAACGCATTAGGGGTGCACACGGGCAAGTTTTAAAATGAGGCGCATTTAATGTCTTATACGAGGCTCGATTTTCCATTTCTGAAACTCTGTGAATGCCACCACTAAAATGTTTGCATCATTGCCAATGACTCAACAAACCTTGTCCTCAAAGATCTTCCAGCTTACCTAACAGAAAGTATGCAGCATCTGCTGTATGAGATGCAGTAAATGAGAAGGCATTAAGTGCACATTAATTTGTGGTTAAGATGCAGGTTTGGCTTTTCGTGCCAAATGGTGGCGGCATAATATATAAATTCACAGGTTTTACAATGGTGCACCCGTCAAAGAAGCGTGTCGTTCTGTGACATCGAATCCTGTCGTAAGGAGCTAGTATAAACAAGGGCTGCACTGATCTCCAACTTTGAAATTGAAACAATGATACATTAATACATTTGGGGAGTTTTATCATTGTTGCCTGTGACACAGGGTTTCTAAGAGTCTCAGATCGGGAAATTTGGTAGACCGTCGAAAAGGCAGTGTCTAATTGAGAGGTGGGATACCTCCGTGGGACAAAAATTGTCTCATTTCTAGACATTTGACTTGGAATTCGTCATATTCACTGCAAATACGGTGAAGTGGACGGTACTAATAGAAGGCAATCCACCTTTTTGGTGTTGTTGCGTGCGGAGTAGAGATAGAAGATAGCTATGGTGTCGGTGGAGTTGTAGGAAACAGAAGTACTAGTTTATTGTCATTGTTTGATACTAACGAGATATAAGAATGACAAACTGCTCTCCCTCTGCGCGCGCTATCTGGTGTATATAACATATATATGGATCAAGCTTGTATATTTTTTAAATAAACACACGCTGCTGCGAGACATCAATCGCCTTTACATTTATCATCCAACTATGCCGCACTGGAGACAAACAATCTATCAAAATAAAGCAATAGAAACTTTAAAATGCTTATAAAATCTCTTATAATATAAGTGTGATATAACAAACAATTTGATTGGCTAATGACGTGCATTGTGACGCAATAATGCACTGTGATCTGTTGCATTGTTTTGTTCTTTCTCTGTTTTCCCTTCTTCATCACTGCTATTTAGCTAATAACATAAACAAAACTATAAAGGTTTTAAAATGCAAAATTTATCAGAAAGCAAGAAGGTATAGACCAAAGGAACAAAGCAATTTTTCTATAGTTCTACGTGTAAAATTAACCGGTTTAGCATTCGTCGAATTTGTTGTTGTCTCGACAGGTTTGGGGCAAAAGCGTGCAAAAGAGCCGAGAAAGAACATGAAAGATACAGGAATACCAAAAACATAGATAAAGGCAACAAAATTTGAAAATAAGTGATTTAGAAAGTACCTTCCATTCTTCTGATGACAACTGGTAGATATATTTTCGGCGAAAGACAAAAAATACAATAATTTCGAAAATTAAAACTGAGCAACACGAGGAAACCTACAATTTAACGTCCTTCATGACAAATCCAGCAGCCCAGATGCTGAAAAACTTTGGCAAATTAGTCTGTGTATCACTGTTTTTATTTCCAACGTCTCAAACATTTTTTTTCAGCTTTAAAGCATCAAAAGATTGTATTGTTTAGGCAATTTCGCTCCTTCGCTGACTTAAAAATTCAAGCGACAGTAACTGAGGCCATGTTAGGAGAATTTCAACGTCGATCTTTTGAGTAAAATTGCTTCCCATGTAATATCTTCTACTTATATTATATTATATTATATTATATTATATTATATTATATTATATTATATTATATTATATTATATTATATTATATTATAAAAGAAACAGAAAAACTCGTCCCGCACGTTTATACTGCGATAATGCACTCGAGGAATGTTTGGATAATACTCGAGAAGCCTGTATTCTCGGCTACGCCTTGTGCTTTACACGTTTCTCTCGCATTCTCCCAACATTCCCAGCGTGAATTATCACACCAAAAACGCACGCGACTCGTTTTCTATTTCTTAAGTAATGTATAAAAGTAGTGCCATGTCTGTGCCAGACTTTGTGCGTATATAGAGTTTATAAATCATGTATACCATCCCTGATAAAATGTAAAGACACTTTATGCCATGCAGGTATAATAGAAAAATACTTTAGTAGTAATATAGTTACCGATCGATCCGGATTTTCGAGTGGTGGATGAGGTGGTGGGGGGGGGGGTGGAGTTTGAGGTGGTGTGAGGTGGTGGAGTTTGAGGTGCTGGAGTTTGAGGTGGTGGAGTTTGAGGTGGTGGATGTCCACCACCTCATTTATAATTAATATTCATACAAATGAGGTTGCGTAGTGACGTCACTCGTTAGTTTTCAATACGTCATAATTATATGGAATGACATAACGCGAACAAGTTTGGGCGAAATTGTACAAAACCTGCTGACTAAGCATTTTTTAACGTTTCTACACGTGCGTGATGAAATAGAGGGATTAATTGGCTCGAGATAAATTTCAACAGGTATATTGAAGGATTGTTTGTATGTTGCATAGCGAGGAATCTATTCGTCACAAAAATCAAGACATATTTTGAACTAAATAGTTGCTAATCCCGGGTTAACATGGTTGTCAACGTTGTTGTTATGGTCAATATTTGAATTTTCTTCAACATTATTTAGCAAACCTCCTACATACATATATACTGTTGAGATGACCGAGTCAGATCACAAGAAAGCTTATCAAGAATACTTGAAGGAAAATAACTTTTAGAACAGTTGTAATATATTTTGCCATAAAAAATAAATATGTTGTTATCAAATATGCGGCAGTTATATGCGTTGCTATGTGTTGCTAAGTTATTAGGAGGCGTGTAGGTAATTAAGGGGATTAAGGCAATACGAATTTGCATAACTAAGTGTACCTCAATGGATAGATGGGGATTATTTACCACGCAGGTGTATGCCTTAATTAAAATCGGGCGCGTGGCTTTGCAGGCAAAAATTTACACAAGATTTCAGTTTTAAAATACATTTATTTCTTCAAAACGTTTTACAAAGTTATGCTTCTAATATATAGCGTCACTTGTTTGAGACGTTTCACTATCCTTGTAGACTATTGTCTATTCATCACAAAAATCAAGACTTATTTTAATTAAACAGAACTAAATTGTTGCTAATCCCGGGTTAACATGGTTGTCAACGTCGTTGCTATGGTCAATATTTGTATGTTGTTCAACATTACTTAACAAAACTCCTACATACATAAATACTGTTAAGATTATCGAGTCAGATAATAGATAACAGAAGTTAGAATTAGAACAGATGTAATAGATTTTACCATACAAAATCTGTTTTATATCAAGTATGCGGTCGTTATATACGTTTCAATGTGTTGCCAGTCATTAGCGACGCTTGGGTGCATGTACATATTAACGTACAATATATTTGTACACTAATCAGGCAGGTGGGTCGCGCGGGCAGAAAGAGCGGGCTTTGCAGGCAAAATCTTGAACGAGATTTCAGTTTTAAAATAGATTAATTTCCTCAAAACCTTTTACAAATTTAGTACGGCCTACTTCTAAGAGCGTAACGTTTAGGTTTTTTTGTTACCTTTAAAGAGTTCTCATATTCCTGTCTGTCTTCAGAAGGTCTTTCTTGAATGTTTGCCGGGACTTAAGAGAGGGTTAGAGAAATGGGTTAGGGGGAAATAGTTATCACATAGGATGGTATCTTATTTTATTTTTATGAACTAAACACAAACATCCATTAAGGATCAATGTCACTAGGAGGCCATATGTGTTTCTGAAATGGCTTTTCAAAAGATATTTTCTCTTGTGAATAGCGGCCTCTAACGCTTCCCTGTTGTCGAAATTATCATCGTTAACAAAGACATCCCTGGTTTCCATGACTTTTTTGTGTACTGGACCCCTCTTTAGTTGTCTTATCTTGTTATTATTAAATTTATTTAATTAACTCATTTTCCGAGTGATCATCTTAATTAATTCATAAGTGATAATTCTCCGAAGTTACGCCGAGGATGGTAAAACGAGAGGTTTCCGACCTAGCACCATTTTGCTTCGTGATGGAAATTTATGCCTGTCGCAAAACAAGTCGAGCTATTTTCGGAATGTCATTCTGTTTCAGGATGCCAGAACAAGGAGATCAGATATAAATGTTAGACGTTTTAAGTGAAAATATGGCTGAAGGGTTAATAATGACGGTTTTGAAGGCAAATAACGTTGAATTGAGTGAGAATGATTTGAAGCAAGGGTGAAAATGTATATTCATCCCGTTGGTTATTGTCACGACAATGAAGACTGTGGTAAAGACCATAGTCATGACTATTAAGACTATAAGGATGACTATTAAGACTATAGTCTTGACCGTTAAGACTATGGTGAAGACTATAGTCATGACTATTAAGACTATAGTCATGACTATTAAGACTATGGTGAAGACCATAGTCATGACTATTAAGACAATAGTCATGACTATAGTCATGACTATTAAGATTATAGTCAAGACTGATAAGACAATAGTCATGACTATTGAGACTATAGTCATAACTAGAATAGACTATGGTGAAGATTATAGTCATGACTATTAAGACTATAGTGATGACTATTAAGACTATAGTCATGATTATTAAGATTATAGTCAGGATTATTAAGACTGTAGTCATGACTATTAAGACTATGGTGAAGACTATAGTCTTCATCATAGTCTTAATAGTCATGACTATAGTCTTAATAGTTATGACTATTGTCTTAATAGTCGTGATTATAGTCTTAATAGTCATCACTATAGTCATCACCATAGTCTTAGTAGTCATCACTATAGTCTTAATAGTCATAACTATATTCTGAATAGTCTTGACTATAGTCTTAATTGTCATGACTGTAGTCTTTACCATATTCTTAATAGTCATGACAATAACAAACGGGATAAATATACCTTTTCACCCTTGCTTCAAATCATTCTCACTCAATTCAATGTTATTTGCCTTCAAAACTGTCATTATTAACCCTTCAGCCATATTTTCACTTAAAAGTCTAACATTTATATCTGATCTCTTTTTTCTGGCATCTTGAAACAGAATGATATTCCGAAAATAGCTCAACTTGTTTTGCAACAGGAATAAATTCCCATCACGAAGCAAAATGGTGCTAGGTCGGAAACCTCTCGTTTTACCATCCTCGGCGTAACTTCGGAAAATTATCACTTATGAATTAATTAAGAGGGTAACTCGGAAAATGAATTAATTAAATAAATTGAATAACAACAAGGTAAGACAACTAAAGAGGGGTCCAGTACACAAAAAGGTTATGGAAACCAGGGAAGTCTTTGTTAAAGATGATAATTTCGACCACAGGGAAGCCTTACAGGCCGCTATTCACACGAGAAAATATCTTTTGAAAAGCCTTTTCAGAAACACATATAGCCTCCTAGTGACATTGACTCTTAATGGATGTTTGTGTTTAGTTTATAAAAATAAAATAAAATACGATCCTGTGTGATAGCTATTTTCCCCTAACCCATTTCTCTAACCCTCTCCCAAGTCCCCGCAAACATTCAAGAAAGACCTTCCCAAGACAGACAAGAATATGAGAACTCTTTAAAGGTAACAAAAGCACCTAAACGTTACGCTCTTAGAAGTAGGCCGTACTAAATTTTGTAAAAGGTTTTGAGGAAATAAATCTATTTTAAAACTGAAATCTTGTGCAAACTATTGCTTTAAAAGCCCGCTCTTTCCACCAACGCGAACCGCCCGCTTGATTAGTGTACAAATATGTTGTACGTTAATATATGCATGCACCCAAGCGTCGCTAATGACTGGCAACACATTGCAACGTATACAAAGGTATAAACCTCGGAATTTCCCAAGAAATCAACATTGTTTTAAGGACAAAAGATTTTAGGCGCTTGGGAATTTAAAATAGCACAACTGTCAAAATTACTGCACACGCGAGTGCATAAAGCAAAATTTATGCATTTATTTAATGCACAACAACAGTAATGTGATCTATTAGCAATTCTTTTTCAATTCCCAGGGGCCTAAAATTTTTTATGCTAAAGAATTTCAAAGTGATTTCTTAGGAAATTCCGAGGTTGCGTTTTTTTTATACACCCTGTATAACGACCGTGTATTTGATATAAAAACCTATCAAAATCTATTACAACTGTTCTAATTCTAACTTCTATTCTTATTATCTGACTCGGTCATCTTAACAGTATATATGTATGTGGGAGGTTTGTTAAATAATGTTGAACAACATACAAATATTGACCATAGCAACGACGTTGACAATCATGTTAATCCAGGATTAGCAACTATTTAGTTCTGTTTAAAATATGTCTTGATTTTTGTGATGAATCGACTATAGTCTAAAGGATATTGAAACGTCTCAAACAAGTGACGATATATATTAGAAGCATAACTTTGTAAAACGTTTTGAAGAAATAGATGTATTTTAAAACTGAAATCTTGTGTAAATTTCTGCGCGCAAAGCCACGCGCCCAATTTTATTTAAGGCATACACCACCTGCGTTGTAAATAATCCCCATCTGTCCATTGAGGTACACTTAGTTATGCAAATTCGTATTGCCTTAATCCCCTTAATTACCTACACGCCTCCTAATAACTTAGCAACACATAGCAACGCATATAACTGCCGCATATTTGATAACAACATATTTATTTTTTATGGCAAAATATATTACAACTGTTCTAAAAGTTATTTTCCTTCAAGTATTCTTGATAAGCTTTCTTGTGATCTGACTCGGTCATCTCAACAGTATATATGTATGTAGGAGGTTTGCTAAATAATGTTGAAGAAAATTCAAATATTGACCATAACAACAACGTTGACAACCATGTTAACCCGGGATTAGCAACTATTTAGTTCAAAATATGTCTTGATTTTTGTGACGAATAGATTCCTCGCTATGCAACATACAAACAATCCTTCAATATACCTGTTGAAATTTATCTCTTCCGAGCAAATGTACGTCTATAACTCTGCTATATATTAATTTCGATAACAGTTTAACCATGTGAGGGACTCGAGCCAATTAATCCCTCTATTTCATCACGCACGTGGAGCAACGTTAAAAAATGCTTAGTCAGCAGGTTTTGTCCAATTTCGCCCAAACTTGTCCGCGTTAAGTCATTGCATATAATTATGACGTATTGTATACTAACGAGTGACGTCACTATGCACTCTCATTTGTATGAATATTAATTATAAATGAGGTGGTGGACATCGACCACCTCAAACTCCACCACCTCCAACTCCACCACCTCCAACTCCACCACCTCCAACTCCACCACCTCCAACTCCACCACCTCCAACTCCACCACCTCACACCACCTCATCACCACCTCAAAAATCCGGATCGATCGGTACCTATATTACCACTTACTTTACTAAACCTTATCTGTTATTATTCATGAGGCAAGGTATAAAAGGCTGGCCATGGGTAAATGGATTAAGGCTATAGAATTATATAGAAAAGATTGTGCAATGTTTTGCCTTCAAATGTTCAACAACATACTCGTGCAGACAGAAAAGGAGAGGCATATACATGCAGTTGTCCTATAATTCTGTACTAGCTGCTTTGTAGATTCTCTAACACTTTTTAATTTTGTACCGTGTATATCCCTTCATACAATGCGCAGTGCTTAATATAAACGATCAATATATTTTATAATAAAATCAGTTGCTACAAACAGTCTATAAAAGCAATTTTAGAATGAATAAAATGGCGTCGACATTCAATTGTCCATTTGAGTAGCCTATTTGGCTAATGTCCAAATGCCCTTTGCCGAAAGATCTCAAATGCGCTAGGAGCCCACGACCTATACAAGGTACACCGTGGAAATAACGTATTGTTAAAATTTGAATGCCCTAGCACTAAGCTGAACGTAAAGATGCGTAAAATATTGACAAAGTGCTTATATTAAATATTGACTTATTAAGAAATTAAAATAACTTTGTAAACCGCACGATTTTCTGCTATCGGGAATTTAAAACAGCTTCTTAAACGGTTTCGTTACCCGCAAACTTTACTTATGTCAAGCTTTCATGCACGTGTGGGTTCAGCAGAGTGCTGAGGCATTCAAATTCTAACAATACATTTATTTCAATAGTTTTTTTTTGGGGTTTTTTTTGGGAATCAACAGGTAAATCAATGCAAAGTTTGGACCGTTTCCAGATAACAACAATTCAATGACATATTATCAGATCATATAAATATCTGAACCAACCCTTTTATAAGTGCGGCCAACCGGAAAGCTCCGAGAGAACATAAGAGCTATAGAGCATATATGATCATACATTTTTTGCTTGATTTCCTGACTTGTTGTTCTAAAAATATGTTTAGCATATTTTTATAATTTAAGAGCAAACAGAGATCAAGTTAAGCAAATATTTTGACTATATGTGATTATCGAGATAGATTGTACAGAACACTCAGCTCAGCTCACTCCTTGCGATCGAAGTGTAAAGTGCGGAAACATGTAATATGATACCTTTCCAACACCCTCTTAGGCAATTAATTTTCTGTGAGTCACGTAGCCAGCTACGCGTATTGCATTGTAGGAATATTGTAATTTACAATATTCTATACTGACAAACTAGTATACTTATCAGTAGCCTAAATACTGACTTGCTCCTTAATTTGACGATATATCAAAACGGCCTCATCTTTCCATATTAACCCGGCCCAGTCCACTGTTTTAACACAATCGTAAGCTACTAAGTAAGAGTTAAATACCGAGAAGGAGGGCTTTATGCTATATACAGCCCCGAGAACGCGAAGCGTTCGAGGGCTTTATATAGCATAAAGCCCGACATTCGAGGTATTTAACTGACTTATTTCATGATTGAAGAGGTTTTCTAACAAAGTTTTATTCTTTTTTTTCGATTTCGACAAGTATTTTTCTAGTTTTCTCCCTTATTTCTTGACTAATTAGAGCTTTATGGTATTCAAGGGCTTTATGCTATATACAGCCCGCGGTACATCAAAGAAAACCGAGTCAATCATGAAATAACCCATCGTAACTGTTAGCTCGATACTAACTTAATCGTTGTGACGTCATTATTGTGAATATTACGAATAAATTCTTGTTTCGGTCGCAAATATATTTCTTTGATTTGATCGTAATCACAACCCATCTCTAACCTGGCTTTATTGCCTCTAACCTGGCTTTATTGGAACCGTTTAGTTTCACAAGATCACAGTATCAACCAACAATTCTTTTAACTATTAAATTAAAGACCACAAACATTACTTCAAACTATCACTTCAAACTATCACTAGACCACAACTGGTCGACTGTGATTTCGACCTTACCATGATCTCCATATAGAGTCATAATTAAAACACGCCAAAGTAACAACTACTACCTTCCACGACCACGTACAAATCGGTATCGGAATGGAACTCATTACCTATTGAACTAAAACAAAAATGAATCGGCTAATCTTAATCTCTTTACCGATCTAAACGAAAACAATTTATCTAATAAAGTTGAATATTTTATCTAATTAAAAAAACTGCGGCTGCCATAGTGTATTTTAATAAAGCACAAAACAATAAATACACTGAAAATTGTAAACATTTTAATTCTCTAAAATGTTTACAATATATATATATATATATATATATATATATATATATATATATATATATATATATATATATATATATATATATATAT